TTGGTAATTTTTTTTTTCTCGGTTGTTTGTTGGGCTATCTCATTGAAACTTGGGCAATGTATGATGGAAAGATGCTTCTTAGCGTACAACAAAAATAAAAAAGACAGACGATAAATAAGGGAGTTCACCTCTCAGCCATCAGCCGCCTCTTTGCAGTATATTTTCATATGGTTTTTATGGTTGTATTCTCATTTTTTTGGACTCACTTGATAGAATGGAAGATACATTACAGAAATAGACATGATTTTGATTGCTTTCATAAGAGAAAGTACCTCGAAATTGAGCTCAAAGTACCAGAAATGTTCGATTTTTGCGTCAGTCAAGTTGGTTAATTTTATTAAGTGTATTCTAACCTAACTACTCTGTAATCCGGCAAACTCAGTAATCCGGCACACTACAGGTCCCAATGATGCCGGATTTGTGATAGTGGACCTGTTTTATACATTGTTATGCTACAAATTTGTATAGCTTTAATGCTTCTTGTTTAAAATACTCATTTGTACTTCATGTTGTAATTTGTTTACTGCATTTTTTACCACTGAATATATCATTGCTTAGTTAATCTTAAGTTAATTTTAAGCCTGCCCATAATGCTCTGCATACAAGGGGCTTTTGGCATGTACACTCAATCACTATATTTCTTTGTACACCTATGTATCATGTCCAAATAAAAAATAAATAAATAAATTTAGAATAGGCCAAATGCAAAGTTAGATACATACAAAATCAACATTGCTTCAGATTTTGACTATCTTTGGGCTTTAAAAGCTTTACTTTCTAAAATAGCATCATAACTTTGTTATTATTGACTTCTAGAAGAAGAAAGGGTTGAAATTTAGGTGAGAAATCTCTCTAGAATATTTTGAAAAAATTTTAATTAGTTTATAATTTATGAACTATGAACTAAGCAGAAAAAATATACATTACAAAAAAAAGGTGAATGGCATTCTGTGACATTTGTAAGATGCACTTTAGTAAAAAAGGTGACTTAAGGTATATGACAACTACTACTTGGCACAACTTGGACATTAGTTTACATTTTACAATGCAATAGATGGTCAATTAAGGTGGAAATTACACTCCTAATTAAGAAAAATTTTATAAAATGAATTAGAGAACGTTAGCCACTGGCTAACGTGACGGTCTGGAGTTTTGAGAGACTGACCGTGGGTTCAAATCCCGCCCGTGGTATGTTTTTTTTTTTTTTCAATTTCATTTATGGCTTTTAGTTCTTCTCACGTTTCTTAACTCCTGTAAGATTCCTTTAGCTTTAGTTCGATGTTTGCTATTTCTCTGACCAGTGTCTCCCTACATATTGCAGATATATTGGCCTCTTGTAGCTGCTCTGTTATTCGTTGCCTTCGTCTGTATAGGGAGTGCCTTTCTCCTTCTACATCTTTTCCTTAAGGGAATATGCCTTTAACATACCTCAAGTGCCACAGAATTAATTTGTTCTAGGCATAGGGTAGGATCTGTGTTGCTTAGTCTATCTTCCCAGTTTATATCATTTAGGACTTGGTTTACTTGGTCCCACTTTATGTTTTTGTTATTGAAGTTGAATTTGGTTAAGGCTCCCTCGTGACTGATCATATTTTGTCAATCTGGGGCTTCCCGCATACATGTCTGGACCTCTATTATGTTGTGATCTGAGTATATTGTTTTTGATATGATGACGTTTCATATCAGATCATCATTGTTAGTGAAGATGAGGTCCAGTGTATTCTCCAGTCTTGTAGGCTATTATCTGTTGGTTTAAGGTGAATTTGGTGCATAGATTTAAAAGCTCGTGTGTGTGCAGGTTTTCATCTAAGCTGCCTCCTGGTGTTATCTCTGCTACAACATTATTTGCTATATTCCTTCATTTTAGGTGCCTTAGGTTGAAATCCCCCAGGAGCAAGATGTTGGGGGCAGAAGCTGGAAGATTTTCCAGACAGTGGTCAATTTTCAAAAGCTGTTCATGGAATTGTTGGGATGTTGCATCCTAAGGTCTTCACCTACATTATAATGCAATTAAGTGGTGCACTTATTGTAGTTTTCTGCTAGGTCCACCCAACTATTTCACTTGCTGCATGATTTGAGAAAGATATCCCATATTGCATAACCCCAAGCCCCTATACATCAGTGCATGTGAAAATATTAATGCCAAGTGTGGCTAAACTTTGTATTAGCTTCAAAGATTTGAAGCAAATTAGATTTGGTACTCTCAAGTTATCTCTAATATCTCAAATTCTTCAATAAAAATGGTAAATTAGGACGTATACAACCCTAAACTAATTCAAACCTTCTGTAGGGAAACACCGGCTTTGAAGTTAAACTGAAAAGGAATATATCCTATACAGTGGAACCTCATTTTTTGGCCATAATCCATTCCAGAAGGATGGCCTAAATTCAAAGCGGACTAAATTTGAAGCAGTATTTCCCATAAGAATTAATGTAAATACAGTTAATCCATTCCAGGAGGAGTGTTTGGAGGCAGGACAAGATACTCTTTCAATATAATGCTAATATCAACTCTACGGCTTATTTATCTATCAAAATTGATCTAATATGACATAATAAACAATATAAATAACATATGTCATTACGGAGAGGAGGAGAGTGAGGTAATCAGTCCCTCAGCCTGGAATCGATGTGTTCAGTCCATCACTCTTGTAGGAAGTACAGCATGTGGCCAGAGAGGTGGCTTATATACTGCAGTCAGGTGAGTCGAAGCAGGAGGAGGTGGGATCGCAGTGGGACCTTCCACTAGTGTAAGTAGGTTGTTGTCCAAAGGTTGGACAAGCATTGAAGAAGTCTTTGTACCAAGATACCATGATGTTGCAGTGTCTGACAGTTGTGATGAATGGTTTTGAAAACCAACAAGTTGAAGAATTGAGACACTTATGCAACATATGGGAATCTTTATCTTTATTGGACTGATTACCTCAATCTCCTCCTCTCCTTACCCATTTCTACTTTGTATTGGACATATGTCATTACGTATGTGAAGAATGGTGGTGATGTTGTTGTTGGGTTATCAGGGCTACTGGCAGCATAAGCCGTACGTATACTGTAGTGGTGATGGTGGTGGTATCAGTGGCCCTACACACCTCCAATAACATTGGAGGAGTTAGTTTCGTGTCCTTTTTCTGTCGCTTAATCACTTAACTTACTTGCTGTTACGTTGTTGTCCCTTTTAACTCTGATAGTATGGCTCTCACTACATGTTCTAGTGTGGGGTAGCTTTTTACATAAAGGCCATAAAAGTCTAGGGTAATACATTTATGATGTGTCATCCTCAGTGTCTCGGAAATCCTCTCACCAGCCCTTTCAATAAGTTATTTAAACTACTATTACAAAAATAGGGATATATTCTAGATAGATATATACAGAATATACAATTTTAGCACTCTCCTATTCAAAACATAAGCCTGCACACCCCTTAGCTGCTCCCCTAGGACAGCCCACATGGTGCATCTGAAACACTTAGCATTTCTTTTCTCTTGACCTTAATCCAGTGTTTTGACACTTTAGTCACCCTGGGTATGATGGCTACAACTTAAGGTATAAAACTCACGTCTGGGGGCACACATAAGGCCCAGAAGTAAAAGAAGAAGAACCAGTGAATCCTACCAGCTTGAAAAACCACCAGAGAGAGGGAGGGAGGGAGGGGCCTGGCTCAGCTCCTCCTACACCCACCAAAACAAAAAAAAAACTGTTGCCAAGCACAATTCTCTAGATATCACAATTCTACCACACCTTATTTTACTTTTACAAAAAGAAATACAACTTTATAAACTACTTATTTAAATGTGTGTGTGTGTTTATAGTACACCCTATTATATTGAGAAAAACAGGCTTGACCCAGCTGCCTTTCAGCCCCTAAGAATGATCCGCTCTTAGGACCATTAACCCTTTCAGGGTTTCCGACGTACTGGTACGGCTTACACGCCAGGGTTATTGACATACTAATATGCATAAATTGTAGTGTCCTCAAATCAAGCAGGAAAAGGCTGGTAATCCTAGATGTAAGAGAATGGGTCTCCATGGTCAGTGTGCGCGGTACAAAAAAAATCGGGGACCCAGTGGTGCATTGTGGGAAAGCCATTTTATTACACCTTGTTCACCATGTCTAGTGCTAAGAAACTCCTCACTCCTCAGCTAATTGGGGCTCTTTTGTTCCCAAGTGACAGTTCAAACACAGATGGAAGTGTCAGTGAAGATGAATTTCATGGTTTTGAGGAGTTTGTGACCGAAAGCAATGCCCAGAATACCTGAAGGAAGGAAGAAGGAAGGCAGGAAGAAAGGAAGGAAGGAAGGAAGGGAGGGAGGAAGGAAGGAAGGGAGGAAGGAAGAAAGGAAGAGATGAGAGGAAGGAAGGAAGGAGACCATCAACCCAAACAATTCAGACAGTGACTGGATATCATCAGGCCAGCAAGTCGAATCAGTCAGGTGAAGGAAGCGGGGAAAGAGAATTCCCCACCTCAAGAGATAATTAAGTCACTCTCTTCAGTCCTTTCCACCTTAATCTCTAGCTACCCTCTACCCCTGCACTGTCCATTGCCCCAGTGCACTTCATGACCTAATAATCATCCCTCTCCCTCTTGCTACCCATTACTCCTGCATCTTTCCCTGCCCTGCTGCTCTATATAACCCTTGTGGTTTAGCACTTCTTTTTGATTATAATAATAATAATAATACTACACTATTGCTGTCTTGCCAGAGGCACAAGGAAACAACAGTTCAGATGTCCCTCCAACAAATATCCCAAACTCCTTCTGTAGAGTGCAGACACTGTACTTCTCACCCCCAGGACTCAAGTCCATAAAAAATAACAAAATATTGTATTAAAGCAAAATTATGTCAGGGAAAATTGTATGAACAAATGTGGAGTGACCTGAGTTTGTGTTGAACCTGTTAAAAGTTCTGATATGCAACTGCACTGTATCCACTGTATTATGTATACTAATTAGTAATTACTGTGTAATGTGTTAAGTGTAATAACCTCTGTATATCATCAGGCCAGCAAGTCGAATCAGTCAGGTGAAGGAAGCAGGGAAAGAGAATTCCCCACCTCATGAGATAATTAATAATGATGAGATGATGATGATGACCAATGGACATGCAACTGTGGAGGAAATGGTAGGTAGGATGCTTGTGGTTTAACAATGTTTATCTAATGTATGTTATGCTTACCAGGTTTCTAGGGGTTGTCTGATAAGAATATAGTGATATAATGATCTTAATGGTAAACAGTGACATGATTTGATAGACAAATTGCCAACAAGTAAGCAAGTAAATACCTCTCAATAAGTGTATAAAATGTAAAGAACTATGTAAAAACATAAATCTAATAAGAGAACTGATTCCAGAAGGTTCTCAGAATTGTGATTATCAGGAACTGAAGAAAATTAACCCTTCCAGGGTTTCCGACGTACTAGTATGGCTTACGCACCAGGGTCGTTGACGTACTAGTATGCCTAAATTCTAGCGCCTTCAGATCTAGCGAGAGAAAGCTGGTAGGCGTATATATGAAAGGATGGGTCTTATGTGGTCAGTGTTTACAGTATAAAAAAATCCTGCAGCACACAGTGCATAATGAGAAAAAAAAAAAACTTTGACCATGTTTTTGGTTTAAAACAGCGACTGTATTTTCGTATGGTATTTATGGTTATATTTTAGTTTTCCTGGTCTCAATTTATAGAATGGAAGACATATTACAGAAATTGAGATGATTTTGACTGGTTTTACAATGAAAAGTATCTTGAAATTGAGCTCAAAATAGCAGAAATGTTTGATTTTTGCCAAAGTTCAAAAATAAACAAATCAAGCTAAGCGTCCAATACACATCAACTGGTGAGTTTAATATTCTTTGACAAGTGCGCTGATATTATTTATACCATTTCTACACTAATGCAGCAGTCTGCATAACAGTAAAACTTCTATTTTTTGCGAGAATAAAAATTCAAATTGGAAAGCAAAAGAAATGTAAGAGGGGCCTGGGGATGCGACTAACGAACAGAGGAAATGTTATTTTAGTGCCAGGAATGTCTGTCTGGTTTATTCCGGACCCTATTTGGAAATTGGCATCTTTTGAAATTTGTGTGAAATTGGCAAAATTGCTAATTTCTGACCACTTTATTGGATAGTTCAGATTGGTAAATGGGTAGTTTCTTGTACTCATTTGATAGAAAAAATGGAGTTCTAGTGAAATAGTTATGATTTTTGTCGACTAATACCCTGGAATTGGCTGAAAATAGGGTTCAAAGTCGACTAAATCGCTGATGTGTAAACATCGTTGAGACCGCTAACTTCGCGAGTGCATAGTTCGTTAAATTTTCCATCAAATTTCATACTTTTGGTGTCATTATGATCGGGAAAAGATTCTCTATCTTTTCATAAGACAAAATTTTTTTTCTGAAAAAAAAAATTCTGAAAAAAATAATTTAGGAGAGGGCCTCTCGACCCTGAAAGGGTTAAGTGTCACTAGAGCTATATTTTGAAACTGTTCACTTATTTCAAAATACTAGTTCAAAACATGTTGAAATGGGATATACAGTCTGTCATCCCTTTTTATTAGTGTTCAGCCTGAGTTTGTAAGGAAATATTGTAAATGCACAGTATAGGTTGACTATCACTAATTCAGCATCATCGGGACCTGTAGAGTGCCGGATTAGTTATTTTGCCGGATTACAGAGTGGTTAGGTTAGGATACACTTAACCCAACAGTTAATCTCATGCTACCTTTAACCCTCAAATTGTCCGAACATAGATCTATGTTTACTTGCGTAGCACTCCAACCTTTATTTCACCATTTGAAAGCATGTAAAAAAACGTAGATCTATGTTCAGAGAGGTATGCACATGAATGTAGATCTATATTTGGAAAGTTTAAGGGTTAAAATGCCCCGTGAATCAGTACAAGTAGGTTAACCCTTTCACTGTTGCAACCCTTACTTGCAAACTTTCTCCCAGTGTCAAAGAATTTAAAAAAAAAAATATTTTGTCTTATGAAATGAGAGAGAATGTTTTTCCAAAGGTAATGAAACCAAAACTACAAAATTTGATGGAGAGCTTATGGAATTATCCTCTCACAAAGTTAGCAGTCTTGGCGATATTAACGCATCAGCGATTTCACCCACTTTACACCCTAATTTTGGCCAATTCCGTTGTTCCAGTTGACCAAACTCATAGCTATTTTGATAGTTTTCCTTCTATTCTGTCAGTTGAGAACAAGAAACTGCCCATTTTGATATCCCAATGAAGTGATCAGAAATTGGTAATTTTGCCAATTTCACACAAATTTCAGGAGATGCCAATTTCAAAATAGGGTTCAGAATAAACAATGCAGACATTCCTGCCACTAAAATAGTATTTTCTCTGTTAGTCACTCTTGAGGCCCTTCTTATATTATGCTTGCTTTCCATTCTGAATTTTTTTCACACAAAAAATAGAAGATTTACTGTTATGCAGACTACTACATTATTGTAATAATTGTAAAAATAATGTCAACCCATTTGTGACTGTTTATTAGATTGGCCGGTTGGATACGTATTGGACGCATGATGCGATTTGTTTTCTCCAGAACATCAGCAAAAATTGAACATTTCCACTACTTTGAGCTCAATTTCAAGGTACTTTTCATCATGAAACCAATCAAAATCATCCCTATTTCTGTAATATATCTTCCGTTCTATCAAATGAGACCAAAAAAATGGAAAACTGCCATAAAAACCATATGCAAATGCACTGCAAATTCGCCATTTTACACCAAAAACACGGTCACAGTTTTTGTTTTTCTCGTTATGCACTGCCTGTTGCACGATCTTTTATATAGTGCACACTTACCACACAGACCTATTCTCTCATATCTAGGCTCAAATTTCCCAGTCACAGCTTATCCAAGTGAGCTAGGCTCATGGCATAATACTACCGGACTGACAGTGACTTCGAAGCCATGATAGAATGGGACCGACAATGAAAGGTTTAATGAAATTAACCAGAAAGTTTATCACTGCCACTTCCAAAGTGAAGAGGCGAAATTTACAACTCAACGTCTTCACTTACACTTAGCCTAAACCATTTCACCAGAACTTGATCTAGTTCTGAACTTTTTCCTTCCTTCATTGTTTTCCTTTTATGCATATGTTTCTTTGAATCACTGTTAGCAAAGAAACAGAGTAATTTTTCTTTCTGTTTCTTTTTGTAATAAACTTTTGAAGAGCCAGCGCTGTATAATTCACACAAGCTTCTCACAGACACTGCTGTCAATATTTTTTCAGAAGTTCAACCTTATCTTTTATGGACAATGTACGAGGTTTGCACTTCACACTACAAAAAGCATTTCCTTTATTCGTTGGAACCATGGCTGGGGTTGAAGTGAGCAGGTTATAACAATAATTGGAGAAAACAAATTGGAAAGGCTTGCCTGTGTTTACAAGTGACACCAGCAGTGTTTATACAGCAAGTAGCAGCAGGCTGGTGAGGCAGCCTGGGAAATTTGAAATTACACTAGCCGAAATTAGTGCTGGATTAGTGATGGAACCAGATTAGTGATGGCCAACCTGTATTTGTTTTCTTAGGTAAAGAGTAAAGAGGTAGGCAGACTGAGGTCAATTTATCATTTTTCATTAAGTATTTATTACTAGAAAGTTGTTCTGTAACATAAATTTATGTTTTTGATTATTGCATTTTTTAGACTTCCATCCACAATGTTAATATTTTTATCACCCAGGGATCAGTGTCCAGATTGGGTTCAGCAAGACCACGAACTGCCCAACCAGGTAAGTTGTCACTATCATTATATTGCTTATAGATCATTTTTATCATTGTGCACACTTAAAGCAGTTTCCTAGACTAAGTATATATTTGTGAATAAAAGGTTGATGGGTTAATTTGTGGATATGCATGTTTTTAAAGGATTAGCTGATACATTAGAATTAGAGCATTTATTGGTAGCTACAATAATAAGAAGCAACTAGCATACAATGTCTATTAGTGAGAGATGAGAGGGAATTAACTAAGGAAAGGTGCAGTTAGTGACAGTGAAAACAAATAATGTGAGGGTTCCCTGGAACAGTGCACATTTATCAAGTGTCACTGGGCTGTCAACAGTTTACTGACACTTTTCATAACACCATTCTTCAAGGAGGTTCATATATATTCCAGGCACACACAGGCAGGCAGTAAGACAGATAAGTAGAGCTAAACAGACAGATAAGCACAGCTAGACAGACACAGCCAGATAGACAGACAGATAGATAGACAGACATGTTTATGTATAACAGTGAAAACAAAGCGAGGGTTCCCTGGAGCAGTGCCCATTTATCAAGTGTCATTGGGATGTCAACAGTTTACTGACATTTGTCATAATACCATGCTTCAAGGTATACTCCAGCAAGTCTAAAACATTGCTGGGACCTATAAATACTTTGTATATATTTCTAAAATGTTCACATGTCAGTGTGATTGTGACTATTTGAGTACTATTTCAGTACCTAATATTAGTGTCAGAACAAAGATTGGCTATGAAAACACAAAAACTATTATAAATTGTAATTATCAGAACATAAAAAATATATAAATTAAAGTCAAAACGAGAAAAAGGTATATCGGCAACACTTCTGCAAGTGGCAGGAATCGATGTTGCCATCGGGTGAGCATTGAGCGCCAACTTCAGGGGCTTATATACAGTGGAACCTTGACTTATGAGTTTAATCCATTCCAGGAGCTAGCTCGTAACTCAGTCTACTCGTATATCAGATTAATTTTCCTCATTTAAATTAATTGAAAAGCCACTAACCTGTTCCTGCACTCTGGAGAGACGAGAAAAGATACGTACAGTGGACCCTCGCCTAACGAACGCATCGCATAACGTTAAATCCGCCTAACGAAGCATTTGAGTGTAAAAATTTTGGCCCGCTTAATGATAAAAATCTATCATACTATCATACCGCAGTCAGGTATTGCTGCACCACGGTCAGCTGTTGCTACACCAGTCTGCTGCACCACCGTCAGCTGTTGCTGCACCATGGTCAGCTGCTGCTGCACCACAGTCAGCTGTTGCTGCACCACCATCAGCTGCTGCTGCACCACAGTCAGCTGCTGCTGCACAATGGTCAACTGCTGCTGCACCACAGTCAGCTGTTGCTGAACCACTGTCATCTGCTGCTGCACCACAGTCAGCTGCTGCTGCACCATGGTGAACCGCTGCTGCACCTCAGTCAGCTGTTGCTGAACCACGGTGAGCTGCTCCTGCACCATGGTCAGCTGCTGCTGCACCACAGTCAGCTGCTGCTGCACCATGGTCAGCTGCTGCTGCACCACAGTCAACTGCTGCTGCACCACCATCAGCTGTTTCTGACCAACATGACTCGTGGCGAACCTGTCCATCCAGCACTGCCGTCATTGTTTACAAACCAGGGTGGCCGGTTGCATGCATACATTCGATACATTTTGTATTATTCCATTGTTTATAGTGATTGTAACTGCTAAATAAGCCACCATGGGCCCAAAGAAAGCTTCTAGTGCCAACCCTGTGGTAAAAAGGGTGAGAAATACTATCGTAACACAGTCAGCTGTTGCTGGACCAGGCAGCTGTTGCTGGACCAGTAAGCTGTTGCTGCACCATGGTCAGCTGTTGCTGGACCAGTCAGCTGTTGCTGCACCATGGTCAGCTGTTGCTGGACCAGTCAGCTGTTGCTGAACCAGTCAGCTGTTGCTGCACCACGGTCAGCTGTTGCTGCACCACGGTCAGCTGTTGCTGGACCAGTCAGCTGTTGCTGGATCAGTCAGCTGTTGCTGCACCACGGTCAGCTGTTGCTGCACCACGGTCAGCTGTTGCTGGACCAGTCAGCTGTTGCTGGATCGGTCAGCTGTTGCTGCACCATGGTCAGCTGTTGCTGGACCAGTCAGCTTTTGCTGGATCAGTCAGCTGTTGCTAGATCAGTCAGCTGTTGCTGCACAATGGTCAGCTGTTGCTAGATCAGTCAGCTGTTGCTGCACCATGGTCAGCTGTTGCTGGACCAGTCAGCTGTTGCTGGATCAATCAGCTGTTGCTGGATCAGTCAGCTGTTGCTGCACCATGGTCAGCTGTTGCTGGACCAGTCAGCTGTTGCTGCACCATGGTCAGCTGTTGCTTGACGAGTCAGCTGTTGCTGGATCAGTCAGCTGTTGCTGCACCACAGTCAGCTGTTGCTGGATCAGTCAGCTGTTGCTGCACCACAGTCAGCTGTTGCTGGACCAGTCAGCTGCTGCTGCACCACAGTCAGCTGCTGCTGCACCACAGTCAGCTGTTGCTCCATCACAGTACTACTCAAAGATGTGGAGAGAGTGTTGTTTGTGTGGCTTGACGTGAAACAATTACCGAGAAATGATAACCCCAGAGGGTTAGCCACCCAGGATAACCCAAGAAAGCCAGTGCATCATCGAGGACTGTCTAACTTATTTCCATTGGGGTCCTTAATCTTGTCCCCCAGGATGCAACCCACAACAGTCAACTAACACCCAGGTGAACAGGAAAAAATGCCTGAAACTAGTGCTCATATTGGTGAATTTAAGGCCAGCAAAGGTTGGTTTGAGAAATTTAAAAATTGTAGTGGCATACACAGTGTGATAAGGCATGGCGAAGCTGAAAAATTCATCCCCCAACAAGTGTTCAGTTGTGATGAAACAAGCCTGTTCTGGAAGAAAACGCCAAACAGGACCTACATTACTCAGGAGGAAAAGGCACTCCCAGGACACAAGCCTATGAAAGACAGGCTAACTCTCATGTTTTGTTGTATTGCTAGTGGGGATTGCAAAGTGAAGTCTTTACTGGTGTATCACTCTGAAAATCCCAGTGTTCAAGAAAAACAGTGTCTCATCACTCATCAGTACTCTTCAATAAAGGTAAGTATCATTTTAACATTTATTTATGTAGTTATTGTGCATGTCTTATTGTTTTCTTTGTAGGGAAATGTATATTTCATGAAAAAAAAAATTTAATGCTTTTGGCTGTCTGGAACGGATTAATTGGATTTCCATTATTTCTTATGGGGAAAATTAACTCGGCTAACGATAATTTCGGCTAACAATGAGCTCTCAGGAACGGATTAATATTGTTAGGCGAGTGTCCACTGTACTTGAATATGATAAGAACATAAGAAAGAAGGAACACTGCAACAGGCCTAGTGACCCATGCGGAGCTGGTCCATGTCCTCCCCCCCCCCAGGATTAGCCCAATGACCCACCAAGTCTGGTCACTTCCACTTAAGGAAAGAGCATGGCATCAGACCTAGTAGCAAAAGCTAGTCAGGCCCAACTCACACCCACCCACCCACACCCACTCATGTATTTATCTAGCCTATTTTTAAAACTACACAATGTTTTAGCCTGTATAACTGTACTTGGGAGTTTGTTCCACTCATCCACAACTCTATTAACAAACCAATGCTTTCCTATGTCCTTCCTGAATCTGAATTTTTCCGGCTTGAAACCATTGCTGCGAATCCTGTCTTGGCTGGAAATTTTCAGCAAGCTACTTACATCCCCTTTATTTATTTCTGTTTTCCATTTATACACCTCGATCATATCCCCCTAATTCTACGCCTTTCGAGACAGTGCAGATTCAGGGCCTTCAGTCTATTCTCATAAGGAAGATTTCTGTTACATGGGATCATCTTTGTCATCTTCCTCTGTACATTTTCCAGAGCATTTATATCCGTTCTGTAATATGGTGACCAGAACTGAGCAGCATAATCAAAATGAGGCCTAACCAAGGATATATAGAGTTAAAGAACAACCTGAGGACTTCTATTATTTATACTTCTAGATATGAAGCTAAGAATTCTATTCGCTTTTTTGCGAACAATAATGCACTGTTGTCTTGGTTTTAGATTACTACTAACCAGAACTCTTAAATCCTTTTTGCAATCAGTAGTACTGTATTAAGATCTACATTATTTAGTTTATATGTGGCATGGTTATTTTCCTGTCCAACATTTAGAACTTTGCATTTGTCTATATTAAACTGCATCTGCCACTTCTCCGACCATTGCATCAGTCTATTCAAATCATCCTGGAGTACTCTAGTGTCCTCATTAGAATGAATTGGATGGTCTGTTTTGGTGTCATCAGCAAATTTGCTTATGTCGCTATTTATTCCCTCATCCATGTCGTTTATGTAAATTGTGAACAACAAAGGGCCCAACACTGACCTCTGTGGAACCCCGCTTGTGACGTGCCCCCATTCTGATTTCTCCCCATTTATGCAAACTCTCTGCTGCCTATTTGTCAGCCATGCCTCTACCCAGGAAAAAATTTCTCCTATTCTGTGTGCCTTAAGTTTCCTCAATAGCCTCTGATGTGGAACTCTGTCAAAAGCCTTACATGTAGGCTTTTAGGTTGGACATTGTTTAGGAGCAATGTGGCAGATGTTGCAAGTATATGGAATAGGTGGTAAGTTATTAAATGCTGTAAAGAGTTTTTATGAGGATAGTGAGGCTCAGGTTAGGGTGTGTAGAAGAGAGGGAGACTACTTCCCGGTAAAAGTAGGTCTTAGACAGGGATGTGTAATGTCACCATGGTTGTTTAATATATTTATAGATGGGGTTGTAAAGGAAGTAAATGCTAGGGTGTTTGGGAGAGGGGTGGGATTAAATTATGGGGAATCAAATTCAAAATGGGAATTGACACAGTTACTTTTTGCTGATGATACTGTGCTTATGGGAGATTCTAAAGAAAAATTGCAAAGGTTAGTGGATGAGTTTGGGAATGTGTGTAAAGGTAGAAAGTTGAAAGTGAA